TCTCTCTCTCTCTCTCTCTCTCTCTCTCTCTCTCTCTCTCTCTCATGAATCTTCCTCTTTATCGAGGAAGATTCATTCTCGATGGAAACGTCTGAATCGTGATTTCGTTTTTTGTTTTTTGTTTTTTTTTTCAGATTGTCGTTCTCGTTTTTTTTTTGTTTTTTTCTTTTCTTTCTTTTTTGCTGTTGTGTACTACCGGTTGTCCGAGGCTCGGCAATAAAGTCGAGGCTCGGCAATGACCGGCCTACCGGTAGCCTGAGCCACGGGCCTTGACAACCGGTAGGTACTGGTGGTTTAATTCGGAGAACCCAGCACCTACGTGGTGCTGCTCAGGCATGAAAACTACTGAGCTAAAGGACGGAAAAAAAAAAAAGCCGTGCTGGCGCTTCAGCAAAGTGGGCCACGCAGTTCTACTCCGCCACGGCAAAATGAGGCTCGGAGGTAGTGGTGTGGTTTCAAGCCTTTGAAAGCCTTCTTTTTTTGCCTTTTTATTAATTCGGATATTTTTCAAGTTCATCTTTCTTGTTCATTTTCCATTTTCCATTTTTCATTTTTCATTTTTCCATTTTTTTTATTTTTTATTTTTTTCATTTTTTTAATTAAAATACTAAATCATTTAAATGCAGCTTTTTCAACCTTTTTCGTTATGCTTACCTACCGATAGGCAAGTACTGGTCCATGAAGAATGTTCCAAATGCAGCTGCAAGCTTTCTTGCACTGCCAAATCTGGGACTCCCTCTCCACAGCTCTTTCCCTGCAGACACTCCTTCATCGTTTCCTTCCGAGTGGTCCAAGTGGATCTGGGACCACAGAATTCAAACCACAAGAAAAAAGAAAAAAAAAGAAAAGGACGAAACAAAGAGGAAAGGAAAGAGACAGACAAACAAAGAAAAAAAGGAGAGCGCAGCCCAATTGTTCGCCATCAATTAGCACCTCTTTGTTTTCAATGATTGTAGCCTTGTGTTCGGATTCGCTTCATTGACAGCTAGCTAGAGAGCGTGAGTCCAACACATCGATGATATGCTGTCGACTGACCCAACCGACCGATCACGAGTTTACACCACATGTTGGAAATCAGTTGGGCACAATACAACCAAAGGTTCTACACCCCTCAAAATTCACTTTCCGCCGAAGTTGTCGGTCTTTCAACCACCAGCACGTTTCCCGGCCATTTTTTTCCAACCGGCTGTGCTCTCGCCGCAAGTCTTGCGGGCCGGCCTACCAGAGCAAAACGGCTGGCAGCCCCAGCCAAAGAGAAGGCCCGCGCCAGTCCATTCTTCTGTAGCACGCTGGGCGTTTCCATGCTCGGTACCTTGGTCGAGCTGTCTTGACCAGGGAAGAGAGGAGGAGGAGGAGGGAAGAGAGCAGGCGGACCAGTCCGCTCAACGAGGGACAGGGAGCAGGAGAACTGGGTAGGACGATCACTGGATCAGTCGGTACCTTGCTCCAGTTGTTTTTGGCCAGGGAACCAGCGAAGGAAGAACTTTTCCACATTGAAATAGGGCACAGGCTGTTGTTAAAAAAAACAAAAAAAACAAAAAGATAAGAGAGGGCATGCCGGACTGAACAGCATACAAACACAATACATTTTGGCCAGAGGGTGATATGGCATCTGTTATGTGCATGTCGCAACCACCCATTCCATCCACCCAGCTCAAACTGCCTTCATTCAGAACAGGAATATCCAAGAAAACATCCTCTTAGTCAATGAAGTCTTGAGGCTAACCAAACAACACAATCAAAATGCGGCCATAATCTTTATCGACTTTGAAAAGGCATACGACCATGTCGACTGGTTCTTTCTGGACAGGTGTCTCAATAAGATGAACATTGGCCCGGTCTTTAGGAAATGGGTGTCAATTCTACACAGCAATGCGTCCACAAGGGTGCAAATCAACGGCTGCCTTGCACCAGAGATCCGCCTGACCCGTTCAGTGAGACAAGGAGACCCTCTCGCGCCTTTTCTCTTTGTGATAATAATGGAGGCCTTGGCTGCAAACATAAGACACCACAAGGACTTGAGAAAAATCCGGATAACAACCATACCCGAGGAAGCACTTCCGATTTGCTCCCTCTTTGCGGACAACCTAACCATAATGGTGGAGGCCACGTGGGAAAACATGGAGGAAATCCGCAAGATGATGGATAAATTTTGCCAAGTATCTGACATGGCCGTCAATTGGGAAAGTAAAACCCAAGGATGGTGGATACACTCCCAGGGAGGGAGGCCACCCGAAGAACCCAAAGTTCACTGGCTGGACAAGGAAACACCGGTCTGAGTCCTAGGAGTCCAAATGACAGTAGAAGGCCGCCCGCCCTCAAATGACGAATGGCTCATCGGTCCGGTCCTCCAAAAAATGACGGCATGGAAAGGGAAGCACACCTCACTGTTCGGACGAGCCTTAATAATAAACAACGTGGTGCTAGTTGCTCTGTGGTATAAATGTTTAATCTAGCCCCTTAGCAAGGAAGCGCAGAAAATATTACGCAGGCAGGTGGCAGCCTTTCTATGGAGAGGAGACCACGAATCCCCAATAGCCATCAGTCGGGTGGCATGGGACTCGGTCATTCAGCCCAAAGCCCAAGGAGGGCTAGGTATTATAGACCCGCCCACACAGACAGCAACACTCGGCCTAAAATGGATTCAAAAGCTCATAATGGAACCACACTCTCCATGGAGCAAGCTTGCATTGGACTGCATCAGAAGCTTAGCTCCCAAAACCCCCTCTTCTGTTGACCCCCTGCTGTGGCTGGAAGACAGATATTGGGCCCTTCCACGACTTCAGGGCAGATTGCGAGATACGTTTTGGCCGGGACTCATAAAAAACTGGAGGAGATTGCCCCTGCCGGATAAACGAGCCCCGGATAGATGGGAAGAGGTCTACAAACAGCCCTTATTTGGCAACAGATGGGTCACTGACACGAGCGGCCAGGTCCTCCACAGCACAGTGGCGCCTTGGAAAAACTGGGTGCAAAAAGGGATTACTAGAATTGGGGACCTGTGGGACGACCAAGAGCGGGATTGGAAAACAGAGGAGCAACTTAAAGACCAACTCAAATATGTCCGTGCAAGGGAGGACCGCTTGGACGAGTTTATCTTTTCCGTCCCACTTGACTGGTACCGTATTCTCAAGAAAGGACCGAAACTCCAGGAGGGGGACTAGGTGGCGATAGCTGAGAAGAGGGTATGGGTTGGTCTGATCCATGAGCTCCGTCAGGAGGATGCACTAATCGAACTTTATACAATAAGCGGACGATGCCGGCTAGAGGGATGCAGCGACTCGTTTCAGTGGATGGCAAGAAACCAGATTTTCAGAATCCGGGTGTTAGAGGATGGACAAGACAGGCTGGCGTTCCGACCAGAAACCTCAATCGCCATGCTTCCCTTCGACCCGCTGAATTGGGGTTGGACCCCCTCGAAATCTTTCTCGAAGGGTACCAGAAAAACCTTGTTCCTACACAGACTTTTGGCTAAATCCGCCTACCGGATGCTCCGCCAAAAGAAACAGTTGGTGGACAGCATCAATGAAAGTGGGGAAAGCACCTTAATGTACCTACAGAGCTCCTGAAACCGATCCGGTGGTTCCAGGAAACCAAGATAAAACCGGCGAAGATTACATCTCTGCAATGGCAGATTGCGCACAGATGCCTTCCCACCCAAAACTGGCTGATAGATCACACCCGTTTAGAACAGAAGGGGCTTGCGGCCCCGTGATGTCCTAGTTGTCTGCAAAACTTCCCCCATAGAAAGATTCCAGAAACCATAGAACACATTTTTTTGCAGTGCCTGGGGGCAATCCTCACCTGGCGTTGGTGGGATCGAATATGGAGGCAAACGGTAGGAGACGAGGACTGGCCCTGGGAATGGCGGGCGATACTCACAGGGCATTGACCTCATGGCCAGTCCTGTGATTTCAGATCCAATATGTTTCAATTGGGCAGACGAGCCATACTATGGGCGCTGTGGTGGAAAAGATGTGCACTGGCCATCGACAAGGCAAGGGTGGAAGGTCCGAAAGTGACAGAGCAAATCAAATCGCGTATACAAACAGAATTGCTAAGGAGATGGCAGGTGTTAGAAGGGCAATTGGCTCCCCTGAGCGACACCGCAGAGATACAAAAGAAAATTGAAACCTTCGGTAAGGAATGGTTGGGGAGTGAACAAGGGGGATGGATAGCGTCGGTGAGTTGGGAGGGGAGGAACAAGGGGACCGAGTTAAGAACAGAAAACCCGAAAAAAGAAACACCTCACAGGGATTATAAGCTGGTCTTCAACAACTGGACAGTCCTAGACCCGACAGAGCCCCTTAGATGCTGGCCGATACCGAGGGGGCGGTCCAGGCAACGGGACCCCACCTCTCCAAAGGAGCAGGCAAAGGCGGACCTACAGAACGATCCCTTCTGGCCATCCCTCCTAAGGACATGGAGGAATCTCCCCCTGCCTGACAAAATCAGGCCAGACAGATGGGAGGAGGTCTTACGACTGCCCCTTTTTGATAACAGGAGCATCGTTGATACCAGGGGACAGGCCCTCCATTGTATGGACTCCCCCTGGCGCGTGTGGGTGAAAAGAGGCATACTCAGAATACGGGATATTTGGGACACAGACGCAAGAGATTGAATTGACCGGGATCTGCTTCGACAGAAATTGCGCCATAGCTGTAGGTTGGACTCCGCCTTCGAAGACCTGATCGAACGGATCCCTCTGGATTGGTGGAAAATTCTCCGAAAAGGACCCGTCTTGCGGGAATCTGACTGGGTGCAGATCCCGGACAGTCAGGGAGAGGTCAGCAACGTGGTATGCTGCCACGGTGGCCCGGTAGTGGTTGATATATTTACTGTGGGCAAAGATAATGCTGTCAATCGAACCACGCCGCAAGCAACGAGATTTTTCCAACAAGAGGAACTGTCACGGATCAGAGTTTTCAACAAGGAAGAAAAATGGACGGTCTTTCTCCCCGGCACTCCGATCACTGAATTACCTTTGGACCCTATAGAGTGGACGTGGACTTCCTCCGCGGAAAGGGGTAAGAAATGTGCCAGAAAACTGAACAGCATCACGGTCCACTCAACATACAGGCTTCTCCGTCCAACATCCACTTTGTGTGACTTAGTGGAGGCCAGATGGATGACGCAGTTGAATACAGGTAAGGAATCGCTGCGGGGGGTTAAATGGTTCCGGCTCACCAAGACGCGACCGGCCAAATTTGCCTCCCTCCAATGGCAGATTGAGCACCGCTGCCTTCCAACAAACGACTGGCTCATAGATAGGACCTCCCTAGAACAAACTGGGCGGGCGGGCGCTACCGTGGTGCAACCTCTGCCTGCATTCCTTCCCAACCAGGAAACGGCCCGAAACCATCGAGCATGTCTTCCTGCAATGCCCAGGTGCGGTCTTCCTCTGGCGCTGGTGGGATCGGGTCTGGGGCCAGTTGGAAGTAACAACGCCCTGGCCATGGAGCTGGCAAGCACTGTTATTAGAAACATGGAGCATAGACCAGGTGGACGATTTCACACTGAATATGTTCACACTGAGACGTAGGGCGGTGTTATGGGCTCTGTGGAGACGACGATGCACTTATGAAATGGAAAGAGTAAGGCTGGAAGGACCCGAGTTCACGGAAGGCATACAACAGCAAATCCAAACAGAGATAACCGTGCACTGGGAGGAAACAAAAACACAGATCCAACACACATACACAAGACAAGAAGCAGAGCACAAACTACAGGATTTCTCTGAGAAATGGCTCGGGGGGAAAGAAGGGGGAAGGTTAGGAAGGGTGGAATGGAATACGGGGAGGGACCAAGAAAACAGCAGGTGGGGGAAGGATCATCGACTGATTTTTCATGAATGGACTAAGGTGGACCCTTCGATCCCGATGAAGTCAGCGGAGAACTTCCCCGACCCTTTCCCCCCCCAAGGAAATAGCATAGTGGACTTGCAGTGGATGAAAGGAAAAGGAAAAGGGGACCTGGGGTAGGAGGAATGTAGACTCGGGGCAATGAGAGTTTTGAGAAGGCAAGGGGGAGAGCTAGTATGCAATCGTTAGGATCTGGCGCCGCATTTATGGTGAAGAGGCTCCTTCCCTGCTCAGTTAATCCCCTGCTTCTCAGGGCAATCAATGCTGGCAGGATCTGTCCTCAATTGGTGTGATAACTCTCAATTGTATCATATGCAGAAGGGACGCTGGACCCGTTTTCCAGCAGGTGCTGCTCCCCACCAATAGATGGAGCCTATCCCCAGGTGCTAGCGGAGTCTGCTCTTATCAGCGTCGCTAGCATTGCAGGGATTGTTTCAAAAAAAAAAAAAAAAAAAAAAAAAAAGCCCCTTCGCCCCCCACACGACTTTCCGGACCTTTTCTCCCCAAGTGCCCTGGCAATTGTAGATGAAGCATGGTATGGCTAATCGGGGTTGGACAGTGGGGGAGGAGCATAAGGAACACTCTTCTGGAGCCCCCCAGGGAGTTTTCCTTCTCACCAAACAGTGTTACAATCTCCTGAAGAGGTATCAGTGCATATTGAGAGATCTGGCGCCTTGGAGGTGAAGAGATACGGGAGATGAGGGCTACACTACGATGATTTTCACAACACCTGCTCAGTGAATCCCCTGAAGACAGGAAAATCAATGCTGGCAGGGCTCACAATCACGGTGCTTACTCATTCTCAGATTTTGTATAAGGGACGCTGAACCCATTTTCCAGCAGGTG